CGAGTCACTCGAAGATACCGTTCGACCGTTACGTCTTCTACTAGCTTGCCAAAACTAACCGTTGTAGTTATGCCTCAGATTTTGAACCAGATCCAAGCATTCCATAATGATGATGATTTAATTCCCAACTACTGAGGAGCATACTGGGTTGAGTATGGTCGAATAGTAACAATCTGAACGTCCGTAAATGGTAACGCCATAACTCACAGTTTCTGGTTCTATTCGCATTCCGTAAAATTGTTGACAACTGCAAAGGAGTTGACGGCACGATTTGTTCTTCAATTATTGGCGTCATTAGGGCGGAAAGATACGCGAGTGGACTCATTTCGTTTCACTACATTCAAGCCTACAGACATCGGCATTAAATTCCATGAGAACGGGCATTGTTTCGCAAGTAAACATACAGCGGATGCTACAGCAAAAACGCTTGCATTTATTGCAACTGTTTTGGTTGGTGTCGGTCAAGCTTCTTGGCAAGGCTGAACCTCAATGAATGAATGTAATTGCAGCCAGCCCGGCCAGCTCAAGGCAGCATCATGTCCCGATAGCAGCAAAGTTGTGTTGTGGTATTCGGAGCGTCTCTGAATGTCCGCTTTTTTATAAACAAGACGAAGCAGCATTCATCATCTGGTTTAAATGCAAAATTCACGACATGTTCAATCTATGGGATTTCGACGGCCACATTCAACTTCCTGTAAACTTAAGCTGAATACCAGAAATACAACAATCATGCGGGGCATTTTCGGGCGTACCGTCCCATAAACAACTGGCAAGTCAGGATTCAATTTGAAATAGGCTCTTTTTGCTGGCCGCGTGATGGCAGCGGGTTGTGCTTTCGAAGCGTACCCTCATCTAGATACTGTCCCCTTATTGTCACTTGCGCGCTCATTTAGCAGATGCTTGTCGTAAAAGCTTTCTCATTACGATGGCTACCATTTTGAATTCACAAATGCGCGTACCTCGTGCTCACGAGTTCACGCATTCTCGGATTGATACACAAGACCGTGGATTTCGCCAATGTTTCCTTGCCATTCAGCAGCCGCCGTTCGGCTGAAATGCACAAGTGAAAAAGGGTGTAGCACTGCTCTTTATGTTCTCAGCACGGGGCAGTATGGTTGCCAGTGCACGGACTTACACAAATAAGTATCTATTAGTGCTCTGAACTGGGTTCTAGAAGGAGCGTGAGCAACGAGGAAAGCAATTTCACGCAGCTACTGCTCGAAATGATAAAAAAAGGTTTGCCTGATGAATGTGTGCGCTCTGAGCTTGAAATTTTTCATACTATGTCCAAACCATGTGTTTGATGTGTTAGCAGCGAAATGAAGATAGGTCAACCGGATATTCTGTCAGATGAATTAGGTGATAAAGAATGGTTGCATATGCTGCTTGCTTGGCCGAACACGGACTCAATGCCGCCATTCAGCTGCTGTGGCTCACTTCAGCAATATTTCGGGGCACACTAGCTGGAATACAGTTCCTAAAGACTCAACTACGTCCGCGAGGACGACGGGAGCATTTGACAGAGGATAGGAAATCCCCATGCCGCGAAATGTACGAGGAGGACTAAAGGGAATGTAATACGGTCGTCGGCGACCAGAATGCGGAGACAATGAGCCAATCGCACAAAACGATCAGTGCATTCACATGTCTAGAAGCAGGAATGCTGCGTCCCCTTCGAAAGAGCGGCTTCAATAAGGTTCGATCAGAAAACCTCAAACACAAGTCACCCACCGACGCGCTTGGACTTCACGGAATCACTCAGCGTGTTCGAAAGTATTTTGAAATCAGAGCATCTAATGCTTTACAGGTGACATCC